AAGCTACACTCGAGACATTCTAACGGTGTGCCAGTTCAAAAGCATTTGCATTATTGATATTTGAAGACACCTACTCTTTTGTTCTTTTACTGTTTCCAGTTAAAAGTTTGCCATTTAGTTGCCTAAAATTCTCTGTATTTATATAAATAAAGAGATGTCTTTCCTTGTTAATTTTCCTTTTGCAAGCATCTTATTTTGAAAAGTTAAAACATATAACTTAACTTGAAGTACATGAGATCATTTTGTATTATTGTGCAAAAGGTTTTGGAAAATGTAGGTATTCTGAAGCTGATGATGGTTTTAACATGTAAGCTTGTGTGGTTACGGGAAAATGAAATCTTGAAATTCATAGAAGATCTCAGCCATGAGAAGAAGACCTAAAGAGATTGTCATTAATTAAGAAGTTGGTTATGGGTACTGGTGGGTTTTCAGGAAAGAAAGAAGTCAAGGCCCTGTTAAGCTGAGAAATATGGAATTGAGATTGTTAGCTGGGGTGAACTGGTCAAACGTTCTGTGCCCAAGATGAAGCCGAGTTCCATTGAGATCAAAAGGAGATAGAGTTCTTTCGAAGAAGAAAATACATTAAATTGCATAATTGCATACATTTTAGGCATGAATAGGATCATGATATTCATAATTGCATGATGACTTAAATATTTACAGGTTTTACAGGGATAGTTGAAGATTGAAGATATTGAAGCATCAAGATGAATATAACTGGTTTTGAGATTTTGAAAAGAATGATGTTTATACGAAAACTGAGCCAAAGCAGATTCACGTATCCAATGGTTTCCAGACAAGTTTTCGCGATGGAGATGGATTTTCAGAAATTTTATCAAATTCTAAATTTTTGAGTATAATATTTTCAAACATACATTAATGATTGGTAATGTTTGATTTTCAGGTTGGACCTTTGAAACAATTCAAACTTAAGCCTTCACGGAAGAGTAGTGAAGCCAATCATCTATAAGCCTTCACGGAAGAGTAGTGAAGCAAACTCGTTTGTTGAAGATTGAGTCCTATACTCTCTGAAGGAATAGGGAGCGGACAAGTTCGTTAAAGATTGTTCTAGTTCTATACTCTCTGAAGGAATAGAGAGCGGACCCGTTTCATGAAGATTGTTCGAGTTCTATACTCTCTGAAGAAATAGAGAGCGGACACGTTTGTTGAAGATTGTTCGAGTTCTATACTCTCTGAAGGAATAGAGAGCGGACTCGTTTTATGAAGATTGCTCGAGTTCTATACTCTCTGAAGGAATAGGGAGTGGACACGTTTGTTAAAGATTGAGTCCTATACTCTCTGAAAGAATAGGGAGCGGACCTGTTTATTGAAGATTTTCTGAGTTCTATACTCTCTGAAGGAATAGAGAGCGGACCTGTTTTTTTTTTAAGATTGTTCAAGTATTATACTCTCTGAATGAATAGAGAGCAGACACGTTTTATGAAGATTGTTCGAGTCTTATACTTCCTGAAGGAATAGGGAGCAGGCTCGTCATTTGAAGATTTTTCAAGTCTTATTTATCCTGACGTAACAGTGAGTGGTTTATTTTTTTTTTAAGTTCTCATGACCAGACAAATTCGATCATCTTTTGATCTTTGCCCCTATTCTCGTTACACGACAATGAGCAAAGAGGGGGCAGCTGTATATGTTTAATTTGTCTGGGGCCTATATCATTTTCAAATGAAAGCAGTTCTGGGGAGTTAAAAACCAGAAAAAAAACGTGGGGGAGGACACGATCAGATAACAGAAAAAAGGAGACAAAGAAGGGGCAGAAGAGAATTAACCGAGTGGTCATGGGGAGAGCAAAAACGGAAAACACAAGGAGGAATTTTCAACAAAGGAGATCAACCATTAGCAAGAAAAAAAAAAGCATTGTAAACAGGGGTTCCACTCCTGCGACTGAAAGAAAAAAAAAGAGTGTAAAACAAAGAGCTTTCTCTCTTCTGGAATAAAAAAAACATTAGATAGTAGTTCCATTTTTAACTCTTTCTCAATACAAAAACATCACAAATCAACAAAAGAGTGAAAGATAGCGATCCAATAACAGCAACGAATTCCAGCAGTATACAAGCAGGTTCATTTCTCTGTTTTTTTTTCTAAAATACTAAGCAAAATCATACGTTCATCTTCTTTCCCAAATGAATAGAGTGATAAAGAAATAAGTTAATTTTGTTTTTACCTGTTTCTTATTTTGGGGCTCGTTCGGATGTGACGCTAGTCATAGCTTATTTGGTTGTTAGGTTACAGTGTAGCCGAGTCTTTCGAATGAGAGGAGTTTAGGTCTGTATACGGTGGTTGGTCTCTTCGTCGGTAGTGGGTATCGGGGTTCAAGGTTATTTGAGTGATGGTGTTCGTACCTGTTTGGCTCTTCATCGGAATCCCAGGCAGTAACGACCATGGTGGCCACGGTTGTTTGGTTCGCGTTGAGGGTCAGATAGAGTTTTGTGAGAAAGAGATTGAGGTCTTTGGAGGAGAGGATGAGAATGATTTAGAGTTAGAAGTGTTACCCTAAAATCCCATATATCAGAACATCCAAACGGCGTCGTTTAGCCAGGTCCAAAACGGCGGTGTTTCATCAGGATGGAACCTTCTGTGTTCTAGGATAGTGGGTTAATTGCGTGATAGGTCATTCTGTTTTCGGCCTGCTTCTTTTTGGTCCTTAAATTGAATTTTATTGGGTTTTTGATTTCGTATCTTAATTTTAAGCGTTTTATATCTTAGCCCAGAATCATGTTAGGGCCATTTTTGCACTGTTTTTATATTGGTTGTGTAATTTATGGAACTTTCATTTTGGTCCTTGAACGAATCTTTTGCGCCTTCTTAATTTGGTCTTCATATTTATGAGCGCTTTTCATTTTAGTCCTGAAATGTTTTTATGTTTTATTTTTGAAATATAATTTGTAATTTTGGTTGTTTGACAATTTAGGCACTTAGCATGTTTTTTAAATTTAATGGTTAATTCCTACTTTGCATGCTTAGTTTAATTTTATTTTTATTCTGATCCTTCATGGTAATTTTGAATATGAAATCGAATTACTAATAGTATGTTTTATTGTATATATTGTTTTATTCTAATGTATGCCAATGTCGTTGTATGCATGTATATACCATATCACCATACTTTATTTTAGACTTAGGTGTTCATTTGAATAAAGGATATTATTTAATTAATTTTTACATGACATTATTTTGCATAATATGCATGATAGCCTCACTTGCATAACTCAACATATTCATAATTGGATTAAGGGTAATATATTTTTAATTTAAAATTGTTTTAAGTGGGCAGTCATAACTGATTTGAGGTACACTTTTAATGATTTTAAAATAAAAGTGTATCCCGAAAGTGAAACCAAAAAATTGATTCGTCACCTAAAATTTGGGAATGAGAGAAAAAGAAATGTTCGTTTATTTAAATATATCGAGAAAAGGTTGTTATATCTTTAAGATCTGGTCTCGATATTTGTAAATAATCGAACATTCTTTATCTTTCTAAAACGACTTGGTAATTTTAATTTAATTTGTTTGAGTGTTTTTGAATGTTTTAAATTTACATTTTCGTTTTATGAGTTCAAAAATCAAATTAAGTTTGAATTTATAAAGTTCATTGCAAAGACGTTAATTAATCGACTAGGTACTGATTTAGGGCGTTGTGGGGTGCTAATCCTTCCCCACACGTAACCGACTCCCGAACTCATTTTTTGGTAACGCAGACCTCAATTTGTTGTTTTAATTAAAATTAATTTTTATTGAAAATGACAAAACATTTTTGGGTGCCCAATCACACCCTAATCAAATATTGGTGGCGACTCTTTGAACCGTATTTTTTGATCGTAAAGAAAATCCAAAATTTTTCGAAACAAGGGGTCTTTTAAATCACATTTGTTTTTAAATTTAAAAGAGATAATTAAGAATGAATGTGGTTTTCAAAATTTCATATTTTTTCACCCTTTTAGGAAAAAATCGTTTCGACAGAAACCATTGAGGAGGGTGGCCTCCTCATAATCCCATACCCTGAAAAGAAAAGCCGTACAATTAATATGGGAGCATGATTTACAGAAATAAAATGTGGAAGTGTCAACAAAAACAACATATAACAAGGAGCTACAAACTCACTCAACTCGTTTCAGAAGCAGTCCCTTTTTTAGTAATAAAACGAAAGCTACATGTAGAAAGCAATTTAAAATATATAACCCTTTCAAGCAGTAAAGAATTATATAAAATGATTCTTCCAAAACGAGACAAAGTATCATATCTACTTAATACAAGGATAAATGCCAAAATCTTAACCCATCGACTTTGCTTCAGAATGGAAGATAAAACTTGCTCTGATTCTCATGGGATAAAAACAAATTGTTCTTACAATGTAGAAGTACTTGAGCAAGAGGCTCTCGAATTTAGATAACAGGCATAGACAAGCAAATTATCAATGCACGTAACTATAACTCGTGCCCACAGGTCTAAACTGTGTAAAAACCGTTCCACTCGCTTAACTCAAATCATGTAAGATTGAAATCAACTTGCTTTAGGAATCTGTAAAAGCATAAATAACATGCCTTATCCGTTCGTTCTCATCTGCTGCAATCACAATAGGAGAGAAAGGTTGCAGCAAGGACGTTCTTGTACCTGTTTCGAATCTTGTATCCCTGCTAGCAATTTGACTATTATTGTTAAGTTTGCTAACGGCTGTCGGAAAAATGAGAAAACCTATTAGTTCCATAGTAAAAATTGGCACAAGTATAGGATAAAAAGAACCAAAAAAGAGAGTCAAAAGGCATACAAGAGTGCTGGCATTTAGTAATATGCACCAGTGCAATTCTTTCCTGCTCCTCTCTTTTGGCCAATAGTTCTTCACTGTCATCTGATGCAGTAAGCAGAGGCTTGGAGAAGTGGCCGCAACTAAAATTATATATAGTTGATTGAGGAAGTAAACTGCGCTCTGATCCAGAAACAGAACCTAGAAGCGGGTCAGCCAATCCCTGAGTCCGGAGAATTCATCAGGTGAGGCCTGAAGCCTAAAGAGCAAACTCTACGAATTCCTGCCAGGTAGTAGGGCTAACAGGAGGTGTTCTAAATGTTAAAGGTAGATGACCTGTCAATATCATCTCCAGATTAAATCTTGTAGTTTTAACGTCTAAATAGTATAAAAGAAAGCATCACAGCAAGCAAATACCAGGGATAAGAAAATGTGAGAATAATCAGGATATGTGTTGAGGAACTAACAGAGAATAAAAGAGTTACCTCCACTGATGTCCAACCATGAAGAAGAACGAGCCAATCCAGAAGCACTAGGAGTTGATGAGGAAGTGGTGTAATCACCAGGGCAGGCACTGTTACCAGCAGGCTTCATAGATTTTGTTACTTGTTCAATTCCAATAATGGAAAGTACCCGCCGCCCTAGACTTGCTACACGTGGAGATGGGTCCTTAGCTAAAGAACATATAGCCAGTACACACTGTGAATACATTGCATTGTCCAAAGATTTTGGCCTTAAAGTATGAACTTCCCCATTACTAACACAATCATTCAATATTCCAGAATCAGAATGATGAGATGAATCATCAGACAATGGAGACCCATGCATGATTCCAGCAGTAGTAAGAGGACTGCTGGTGGATACCCTTCCGTCCCGGACAATGGCAGTTAAAGGACCTATCACCTGAGCCTCAGCAAAGTCCTCCCACAGCTTTCCAAGACAAAGGCAAAGCCATTGAAGCAATAAGGGTTCAGTTTGTGCCTCATTTAGCGTGAAAGCATGAAGATGCTTCAAGCACACCTGGATTAACCCTACTTCAATACAAGCTTCCTGGCCACGTCTATGACCATCCACAATGACAGCCAGAACAAATGCAGCCATTGCACGCTGCTCAGGGTATGCTTCCACACTATTAAGAAACCTAATGAAATAAACATGACCACCATCCTTTACCAGATCAACCTGACACGACTGCAAACAAAGATGATAGAGTTTCAAAATTACTATTGTATTAGGTAAAAGAAATATTATAGTTCAGCAATAAGGCATCAAATATGATAAGAGAAGCAGAATCAATTCCCGAGTGTCAATAAACAAAACAGCAAACTGTCCATACATATTTATTCAGGCACCAAGAAGTGAAAACATAGAATGTTGATGCTACAATAAAAATTTTGATCACACAGAGACCAGCTATATAGAAGCTTCAACCAAATAGAGAAGAGCACTTAACAACTCCTTGAATGCCAGACTAAAAGGCAACCTACGGGTTAATTATTTAAAAGAAGAAAAGAAACGCTCCTTAAATATATTAAATAATAAATGTATAATTAAAGGAAGAAAATTTTGTTAACCAGCAGCACATGCTTTTGGTTATTTATATACGGGTTAATTCCATATGACGGTCCTCAAACTATGACCAAGATTTTAAACAAATCATTATACTCTAAAATGTTCTTGTTAAGTTCTTAAAATATATGTATCATATGAATCATGTTCTTTCGTTAGTTTTAGCCATTAGCTTGCCAGTTAAATTTCGGCTCAAATATGATGTAGAATGTATTTAAAACATATTTGTAATCGAGGGTCGGAAGATATTGATCATTGTAGAACTTATATTTTGATATGGGCAAAATGTTTGTTGGACTAAATTGAATTTATTCAAAGTTTTCAAAAATAATTCAAAGTCTAACTAAATTTGAAAGATATATGTTCAATGTTTCTAAACTTCATCAAAACTTTAAAATGAGTCTTTTAAGTTCAAATTATATTAAAAATGTCTTTCAAATATTTTAAAATGTTTTTCAAAATCTTGTATTTCTTGAAATGTCAAAAACTATCTTTTTAAACAAGCTTTGACCAGAAGTTTCGAAACTTCTACAAGAGTTTCGAAACTTTCCATGACAGTGGTCCAAAAAGTTTCGATACTTTGACTCCAACGATCATATTTTTCCAACGGCTCTTTCGAAGAGTTTCAAAACTTTGTATGCAGAAAGTCTTCCAACGGTTCAAAACATTCCCAAACGGATAGAAACAGCTAGTAATTCATTCCAACATATAAAAACAAGTTCAAGACACTTGAAGAAGGAGACCAACACCTATCCAAGCATTCATACACAAGAGAAAGGTTTTTCAATCTTTATTTTTCTTTCTCTTGTAAATATTTATGTTTTGAGCTTAATTGTATATCCTTAGGTTTTGTTCTTGTGAGCTAAATCTTTGTATACACCAATCTAGAGAGTATTCTTGTTTACACATTTCTTATTCTTTGTAAAAGGGTTTTGGTTTTAGTTTGGCCAAGTAAAAAACTAGGGAGTTTGTAAAGGTTCTATCTTTATCCTGGAAAAAAAAAATTAGTGGATTTGTTTGAAAATCCTAAGTGAGGAGTTTATGCAGTGGATGTAGATTTCACTGAGAGAGTTGAATCACTATAAATTATTGTGCAAAATTTCCTATCTTTTTACTCAATACTCCCTAAACTTCAAAAAGTCAATTCACCCCTCTTGGCAACATTTTCGGTTGATTGAACGAGCTTCATATATCATAACATTCATGTTTTGCGTTGTTGTAGAATGGCAGAAATTGTTTGGAAAAGGGTGATTCGAGCTGACAAATTATTTGAATTTCTTTGTTGTCCGTTTGAGACCTGGATATTGAAGAACCTTAACTCGTATATTGCCGACAGGATTTCATATGAAAATGTTGAGTGGGTTGTTCTATTCTTGACAATTTGCTGGCAATTATGGAAAAATAGGCGCAGCTTGCTGTTTGATCCTGAGTTCGCACAAAGAGATGACTTTGTTTTACTTTGTGTAAGATTAGCTAATGAATTTGTAAATGCAAAAGTGAGTGTCGTTGTTCCGAGTCAGGTCTCATAGGCTACCAGTTGCAGTGGACACGACCCCAAAATGGCTGGATTAAAGCAAACTTGGATGGAGCAGTCTGTCCGAACGATAGCATGGCCTCCACTGGTGGACTGTAACGTTGTTCGGAGGGGAATTGGATTTTCGGATTCACTCGGAGCTTGGGATGCTCAGTCCTGGTTGCGGAACTGTGGGCTATCCATGATACTTTGACTCATGCTTGGAATTTAGGTGTTTGGCACGTTGAGTTGGAGACCGATAACCTTGAGGCTTCTAAGATCTTCAACAAGTCGTCGAGAGCATTAGCGGACAGCACCTTGGTTGCAGCTCTTTCAGACCTATGGGATCTTGATTGGACGATAAAGGTTCGACACATCCATGGAGAACAAAACAGTGCGGTGATAACAACATTGGTAAGCTTGAATTTTTGGAACCTCGTGTCGAGCTCCTTCCTATTCTTCAAGAGGATACGACTGTTCCTAGCTAATGTTGCCAGTATAGGGATCAACTTACAATCAAATAATAATTCGAAATGTTAAACGGAATTAGCCCTTATATACATTTATAAGAATTTAAAGGCAATTAAAAAGATAAGGCAAAATGACATCAGAGGTCCCTGTATTTTTGAAAAAAAACCAATGTGGTCCTCGTATTATTTTTCTCTCTCACTATGACCTTTCAACTCAGAAAACAAACACAGTGTGGTTCTTTGACCAATGTTTTTGGTCGGTGACTGTTATAGTACTGGCGTGCCAGTTCAAGGTGCTGACGTGGAGATCCACAATGTTGACGCGGCAGTTCATCTTCAATGTTCGAGTTACCAATTTAGTCTATCTACCATGTCTTCTACCACGTTAATCTGTCACACTAGACTGTCACATCAACACTATGGACTGTCACATTGACACCATAAACTATCACATCAACACTATAACGGTCAATGCCGAAAAACATTGGTTAAAGAGCCATATTGGATTTATTTTTATGAGTTGAAGGGTTATATTGAGAGAGAAAAATAATATGAGGGTCATATTGATTTTTTTAAAAGTATAGACCTATGATGCCTTTTTACCAAAAGAAAAATAATAGACAAATCTCAACCTCGTCCAACGCTCAAAATAAGGCTTTTTGTCCTTTTTAAGTCCGTTAAGATTTATTGCCGTTGAAGCACTCGCTGTGTTCCGCCTTTTGCCGCCACGCGCTTTAAATTTCTTTTCATCCCTCAAATATTTTCCCATTCCCCGTAAAGGGTACCCACCTAAAACCAAAATCTCCCTTTTATTTACCTCCCAACTAGGTGTGATTAGGGGTTTTTAATGAGACTTGTATTATTAAAAAAAAAAACTAAGTGTGATTAACGAATTTAACAGTTAGTGAACAGTTTGAACTCGATTCGATCAAAATTTGGTAAACGCTCGATTTAAGTTGGCTCAACTCAAAATCAAACTCGAACTCGACTCGAGAATTTAACGAGCTGAGTCGAGCAAAGTCTAACTCGACTCGATAAATTCGCGAGCAGCTCGTTAATTTTTTAAAATATATTTTTACTAATTACTTCAAAATTATTTCATTCAAAAAAAATCTAAATAATAATTATTAATTTATTAATAAAAAAATAAAAAATAAAAAATATTATTAATTAATAATATTATTTTAATATATAAAAAATCCAACCCTAATATCCTCATATTGTATTAATAAATTTTATTTTTAGTTAAAAATAAGGTAATTTTTTTAATAAATTTAACGAGCAACGGTCAAATTGAGTAGTAATTTTTTAACAGCGAGTCGAGGTAAGCACCCTTTACTCCCAACTCCACTGAACGTATAGAAAATTTCTCCAAAGACAAGGGTATTTCTGTCCATAAGAGAACAAACTCAAAAATTTTGCCGTTCCTCCTTTTAAATGTCGCTTTGACCGTCTTTCACTCACGAGTTTTTTCAGACAGTGGCATCCCCGACCAGACATTATTAGCCTCCTCGCGAATTTAAGTTTAGGTTTTGTTTGTTGTTCTGTTTAGGATTCTGGGTTTCGTTTGTTTTCTGGAATGGAAGTGGAGAGCTGTGGTTTTGGTGATTCGGTCACCAAAACGGTGGTTTGAGCGGCGGTGTTAGAGCTGAGATCGATACTTCGGCGCCGTTTGAGTCCGTGAAGGAGGCTGCTTCTCGATTCGGTGGAATCGGTTTCTGGAAACCCTCTCAGCATAAGCTCGTCTCTGAAACTGGGGTTTAATTTCTACCCTTAATATATATTGGTGATTATTATTTTGTTCCTTTTAAGGAAATGTTACTGGGTTTCATATGTTTTTTTCTTGCTTTTAAGGGAAAAATCAACGTGGGTTCACGAAGTTCTTACTTTTAGTTATATACATGTATGTATATGTATGCATGTATATATATTTGCTTATGTATACATATGTATGTATGCGTGTTTGCTTGAAGGTAAACCAGTGTGAATTATAAGCTGATACTTCTAGAGGGAGAATCATGTATGTTGTACTAGAAATGTGCTATGTATCATTGTTTACAAGGCTTCATGTGTTGTTTATCGGTTATCACGATCCAGGCATTTGTAAAGATGATTTTGAAACATTTAACATATGGCAAGCTTTGTGGCTTTCATATTATTTTAGCTTTGAAGCTTCTTCGGGTAGTGTCTTCTTACTGTATGATAAGCTTTCGCCGTACGAATCATCTAGGAAGTCTCTCGTTTCAGTCTGTCTTTGTGGTCTTGCTATGATGTTCTGATTTATGGTCGTTGAGTGTTTTGAAATTATTCGTTTGTCTGTGCAATTTTTGTGACCGATCGTCTTCTGATAAGATCTTAATGTTTCACAGCACGACTTAGAAGTGGTTGACATTGCGAAATTGGAGGAGCAAGCTGCGCAATTGGAAAAAGATCTCATTGTTAAGGAAAGAGAAACGTTGGATGTGTTAAAAGAACTCGAAACAACGAAACTAACCGTTGAAGAACTAAAATTAAAGCTGCAGAAAGAAGCTTCCGAAGTAAATGAGAAC